AGGGAAAGACTGCTACAGGATTCCACTGCTGGCTGGCAGTCCCTGAACCCAGGAGAAAGGCTCACAGAAGGAGTCAGCCTGGTAAATGGGGAGGTTCTGACTTTCAGCCTCCAAAACTGTGAGGACATGTTTCTGCTCTGAAACCTCACCTACTCGTGAGTCAGTTGACACTTATAGCGACCCTTGTATAGGGTTTTTGCAGAGAGGCTGGTGAGTTTGAACCACTGATCTTGTAGTCCAGTGCTTATCCTACTGCGCTGCTAGGTGATTAAGGAGTCTTGGGGTGGCGCTTCAGGATGACATTGGACTGTTAATTGTTAAAGGCAGCGGTTCAAACCCACCAGTCGTTTCTTGGAAACCCAGCATTAGAAAATACAGTATTGCTATGAGGTGGAACTGATTCCATGACAGTAAGTCTTCACTATAGATTTTGCAGCTAATTTGATGGGTCAGTATCCATTGAACCTTGTATAATAAAATCATGCCCTAAACAAAATCTCAAATTACAGCAGTTAATGGCGAAATACTGGTTCTCAGTTCAGTTAACCTTGACACAGAATGTTTCAGAAAGTAATGTGCATGGAATCCAATGTGAACCAATCAATTGTTGTTTTAATTCTGAAGCTTTTATTTCGGAGCCCTATACCACAAAAGACATGTGTAATGTTTACAACAGGTATTAGAAACTGAGATGTTTTTATTTCTATTATTTAAGTAAAATTATACTGTTCCAAACCATCATCAAAAAATGCAGACCAAACGTCTCTGTATATAAACTGTACATAAAAACAAGGCACTATACATTTTTGGGGGTCGATATTAAGGTAATAGGCTGATTCGCAGAGATTCTTCAGAATCTACGTCATTAAGTACAAATGCTTTGTTCATTTTAGCACCGGAAGCAGTACTGAGAACAAGTCATCTCCTCACTAAAAGAAACCTTTCCGGACGTATATAACAACTCCATCTACCTTTTAATAGTATTTTGACACCAAGAAAAAAA